GGTTGGGTGAGAGGAGGTATTCTAAATGACAACATAGTCTGTAGTTGCTCTAGAAGGCTTACTGTTTGCCTATTCCTTTCATAGATGACTTAGATTAATAACGATCTCCCAGCTTGGGATTCCAAAAGTTCATTGAGGCCTGATCTCTAATTCTAGTTTGTTTATAAAAATTGCTATTTTTCAACACTAGCATGGCTAAATGAGAAACCTATCTTCACTTATTGAATCAACACAGGAACTTTTAATAAGCACCAAGTGGAAATGACCCTGCAGATCAAACTCACACTCACTCCACTATTTTATAATGACATATATGTTTTCATTTTTCTTTCTTAATCAAGTCAGGCTTGTATATATGTGTAGATTACATGACTTCCCATAGGATTTTATGTTTGTTGGTTGGGGGTGCCATTTTCTGCTCCCAAATATCTCCATAATGGCAATGACATCATGCCAGATATACCTAAGATTCTAATAATTTGACTTAAGCCTGTAATGGCCTTTGTAATATCAATTTTTTTTCAAGTAGGAAGTGAGCGATATGTGTAGCTGCCCAAACTCATTGTAGCTCAATTTTGTTCAATTAATTAGGTCATCTATCATTTTTCACAAGGGATGAGGCAGAGGACAAAGATATTAGGGTAATATATATGTTTATGTGAATGGAGATATGACATGCATATATTTTAAATATCATACTGCCTCTTTTATGAGAAGTATAAGTCTTTAATTTATTCTCTTGATTATGGAATCATAAAAGACTAAAGAGATCATTCCAGATTTGGATGACCCTAGGGATTTCCCATTGAAATAGGTGACTAGTTATTAATATTCACAGCAGTGGAATCGACACAGGCTTCTTTCCAACTAACGTTGCTTTTCAGCCTTTTTCCACGCTGAGTTCCATGGAAAAGATGCTATAGAAAAGAGAAACAACTTTATAAAATCATCTGTTAGCATGGGGGATGAATTTGAGAATGTAAGGATGAGGCGTGTATTAAATGTATTTTTTACTTTTCTTTAAATATAAAGATTAAATATTAACATTGAAAATATTAGAGAAATGAATAAGGATAAAGGATAGTAAATATATAAGTAATAAGCATATAAGTATATAAGTAAAGCACGAGAAACATCCTTTTGGTAAGATGCCTAGCAATCAGAATAGTTTTGGTCTTTTCATCATAAGCATGCTGAGTGTCTTCTACTAAAACTGAGTGTCTTGATGGTCTCATCTGTAAAATGGAGATAATGGCTCCTTTTCCTTACTTATCTTACAGAATATGGTGAGGGATAATAGGGCTTTTCAAGGAGCCTCTCAAGAACCATTAAATAAGTATGGATTGTACTATGACTACGTGGGAATCTGTCCTTTGAAACCCATTAAGAAAGAGAGTGTTAGATGTCTTAGAACTCCGTATAATATCTAATGCTGGTTTCCAAATGTATAAGATGGCTGGAGACACTAACCTTATTTTCCTTTTAATTTTAGAAGTTGGGATAATTACTAAATTTCAGATTTCTCTCTTCCTTTCAATAAAAATATTTGAAGTTTCTTTAATATGTCAGAATCCTTTAGTATTTATAATTTTTAAATACTAATAGAAAAACTAATTTTCCCACATCACTCTTCTAAAAGTTCAAATTTACTTGGAAATGGGTTACAGTGAATGACTTATCTACAGGGAAAAACTCTCTCTCCTGTATATACTGCTTTAAGCATATATTCCTTTTTTTTTTTTTTTTTTTGTGAGGAAGACTAGCCCTGAGCTAACATCCGACGCCAATCCTCTTCTTTTTTTGCTGAGGAAGACTGGCCCTGGGCTAACATCCATGCCCATCTTCCTCTGCTTTATATGGAACGCCACCACAGCATGGCTTCATAAGTGGTGTATCAGTGCACGCCCAGGATCCGAACTCACGAACCCTGGGCCGACGTAGCGGAATGCATGCACTTAACCACTGTGCTGCCTGGCTGCCCCTAAGCATATATTCTGAACTCCATCAACTTACAGGCCCCCTTCACCCTCCAATTCAATAATATCCCTGCATATTTTTGCTGTTTTTCTGTGGACACAGACCTGGTATCCTTCCTTTTCTCTAAGGCTAACCTCTTGATCTCATTGTTCTCTATCCTCAAACTTTCCACTGTTAAACCCTGATCTGTTTTTCCAACTAGATATTCAGCTCTTCACATTATGTGTTTTCACTGCCTTACGTAATAGGAATTCAAGAAATGTGCTTAATAAATAATGGCCATAATTGAAATTGTTTACTTGTCAGAAAAGCATTGTTTTCAATAAAAGATTTGTTTCAATAGCTAAGTTGCTTTGTCATCTTTTTTATTTGTTAGTCTAAACCTACAAACCATTAAAAACAAGCAAGAAAATATGATGGGAAAAATTTTGATGTCAAAATGTATAAAACATACTTAAGGTTAACTGTAGCAAGAAATATGGGAAATGTTATGGAGAAAAAACGAACTACAGGAAGATGGAAATAAATGGGTATGCAAATCCATTTCCTATAGGGGAAGATAAAATTTTACAAATTTCCAAATTAATTTGTATATTTATTGCAATTCAATTAAAATCTCAATAAATATTGTGGTTTTCAACAATATAAAATGAAAATTTATTAATAATAAAAATTGGGTGGTAATATTCAACATATTTTAAATTAGTAAGATGGGAATTTGCCCTACCAAATATCAGATCACATTATAAAGCTACAGTAATTGAAACATAGGATATTGGATTAAGAAAGATGTTAGGCCTCAGAAACAGACATGGTAGAATTATTTCATGTAGGATAAAAATGACATCTGTTCTCTTTCTCATTCTAGTTTTAGAAATCTGTCTACATTCTTAAGTTTTGACTGGCTTTCCTAGTGGAGTTTACCTGTTTTATTTTTATTTTTTCAAAGTTTGAGTTCTTGAATTCATTTATCAATTGAACTCTTTTTTACATTGTAATTAATTGGTTTCTGTGTATATAAAATATATATAATTTTCTTCATCCATTCTTTCATTGAATTTATTGAATAATTTTTTTCTAAATTCTCTAATATAAAGCTTAGTTTCCGTTGTTCCTTTTATTATGTTATCTAATAAAGTAAGCTTTTAAAACTATAAATGTGACATTATGAAGATATTTGGTTATACCTCATAAATTTTTCTATAAAATGTTTTAAGTGTTTTCACATCTAATACAAGCTGCAATTGTGCAGCTGTAGTTTTAATTTTCTCTTTAAACCCAAGAGAGTTGAGAAGGGATTTTAGTTTGTTAGTTTGTTTGTTGGAATTCTTGTTATTAATTTTTTTTATTGCTTTAGGTCAGATCACTGGTTTGTACAAGGTGTTCTTTTGGGCAACTAAATTAAATTATTTTTATTTTGCAGTAGACTCTATTATCAGTTTTTGTTAATGGACTGTGGACACATGAAAAGAGGATGAATTGTCTATTAGGATGGCACATAGTTCAATGTTTGTTTCGTCAATCTCATTGAAATTCCTGTGACCTCATTTTTCATTTTTGACTTGGTCTACAAAAAAACTGAGAAAGAATGTCTTAAATTTTCCTACTAATGATATATTTCTGTTGATTATCATTGTGTTTTTTTACAGTTTTGTTGTGTACACTTTGTTATTAAGTTATTCAGTTACAAGTTGTGTTTCATGTTTATTCATGTATACTTTCTTTTTTCTGTTTACTATTTGCTTTATTTTCTGTCTAAAATTAATCCTGCCACTCCTAGCATTTTTGTTGTTCTTCATCATCTTTGCTTCTCTGATATTTGTTCCTAATTTTATTTTAAGTGATTCTCTTGTAAACCAAATTTATTAGGGTTTTCTTTTCTTTTTTCCTTCTAAAGGTGTCAGAGACTTTTTTTAGGAAATTTAACACATATTTATTGTTATAAACCACTATTATTTGCTTTATTTTCAACACTTTGGAAGTATATATTCTGTTTAAACTTCTCTCTTTAACTTTTTCTTTTAAAAACTACCTTTTTAATAAAATAAGAACAAAATGGTATCTTTTAATTGCACTATAGGGTAAGAGGAGTAATTTTGCATACTTTTACTTCCCCATCCTTTTCTTTGTATATATGTATGTTTGGAATTCAAAAATATTTTTAAATTATTGTTTTAAAACCCTGTTATATTTTAAGAATAATCTTTGACGCTTAGGCTTAGTTCTGTAAACACATCTTCAGCTATTTTTAGATTTAACTTGATAAGTTGGTGGTTTTGATATTTATCACAAATCATCTTATAATGTATCTCCACGTTCTTTAGAATAAATTCTCAAACTACTTGAATATATATTCAAACAGTATTTCAAAGAATGGCATATAGATGTAATATTTCCTGAAGTTTTGCTGTAAGTATGAATATCGCTATATTGCTTGCTTGTTAATAGAAACAATAACTTTTGAGCATGAAGTTTGAATCCCAACATTTTCCCCTGAGGAATTAGAGATACTTAAACCAAAAGAAGAAATATCTGTGTGAGGTAAAGTCATGATATTGTTGTGTGCAAAAGGGATCAGAGTTAGTCTGTGTAATTCCACAGGGCAAAACTAAGATCAAAGGGTAAAAGCTGTATAGAAAGTTGGCTGCATAAATAGTTGATCTCTTTAGCACTTAGAGCTTTCTCAAGATGGAGTCAGCTGTCTTACATAGTCACAAAACGGAGCACAAGTATTCCTGCATTGATTTTGTGCCCACCTGTCAAGATATTGTGCCCAGGGAGTTTATACTAGATTATTTTAGGTGTAGGGAACTTCTCTGTAGGTAGGTCCCTGACTCTAAAAATAAAAAAAAATCATCCCTTTTTACAAGGCCAATATGTTACGAAGCTGTAGTTAGATGGAATCATTAAGATGAGACTTTATATAAACTGAGCATTTTGGGCCGGCCCCGTGGCACAGCGGTTGGGTGTGTGTGCGCTCCGCTGCTGGAGGCCCGGGTTCAGATCCTGGGTGCGCACTGATGCACCACTTGTAGGGCCATGCTGTGGCGGCATCCTATACAAAGTGGAGGAAGATGGGCGCGGATGTTAGCCCAGGGCCAGTCTTCCTCAGCAAAAAGAGGAGGATTGGCATGGATGTTAGCTCAGAGCTGATCTTCCTCACACACAAAAAAAACAAAAAACTGAGCACTGGTTTGTTGATTCATTAATTTACTTACTTATTTTTGTGTAATGATAAAGCCCTGATTACTTTGGGTAATTAATAAATAGCCTATTATCCATCGGACTATCACAGGCTTTTGCTACATGATGGAAGGGGAAACTTGCATTTCAGGAATTCTGTAGATGCTGTGGCTCCTTGGCTACCCTCTTTCCTGAGCCTCCCTTTGAAAGCCAGATGGATGGTAAGCTAAGCATCCATGTTGCTCACATTGGAATCCCCAAAAGGATTGTAACCAAAGCAAAAGCCCTCTGGTGGAAGATCTGTTTGCAACTCCATTACATAGTGTGTGACTGTTAACTGGAGGGATTCTAAACAGTTCTTTCAGGAGCCATTTTATGCCTTTTTTTTAATTGCTGAGTTTCAAATGTTACTTGGGTGTGTCGTCTAAATATTTAATGTTTAATGTAGAAGAAAAGAGAACACTGCTTTTATTGTTAAAGAACATATACCAACCACATAGAGGAAAGAATAGAACAAGACTACAGATTCTGCGTTTCCGTTTTAGAGAACCGTTAACTAAATGTGCAATGCGCCCTTCTCACTTTTAAATGTGAGAAAAATTATAGCTGGCCCAGATGGCACAAAAGAACCTAAAGGAAAATAGCAAAGAGAAGTTGAACTTCTGTTATCCTTTCCTTGAGCCCTGTTCTATCTACCCTACACAGGAGGGGGGCCACAGTGAAGGAGGACCAAAAGCTTATTAGTGTTTAAAAATACCTTGGTGACCTCAGCGGATTTCTGGATTTTAGTTCTTGTTCTGCCAACTCTTGCTGGGTTTGTGTACATTATCAGAGCTTTGAATTCCTTATCTGAAAATTTAAGGGGATATACCATATAATAATAATAGCTATTGATATATTGAGTGCTAACTATGTGCCAAGCATGGTGCAAAGCACTTTACATGTATTATTTCATTTAATCTTCACGACAACCCAATGGGTTAGAGATTTACCCCAACTGATACTACGATTAAAACCTCAGCATGCCTAAGAGCAAACCTATATACCTGAAAACAGTATAAATCTTAAAAACCCTATCTAGTTCTAAAATTTTATGAGAAATTGGCTTGGTACTTACTCATGTTGAATTGTACTTTAAATTTCCTGTTTCTGATGAAAACCACTGATGAGCCAACCACACTGTTCCTGGATAACTTGGCATCCTTTCACACCTGGAAGGGTCCTTGGTCTAACCTCTTCCATCACTCTTCTTTTTGTGACAAATTGGCTTTTTTTTTGAATTAACAAATTTCCATTCTCACAGCATTTAGACCTATCAATAGATTGTCTTGGTGTTATACTTAGAAAGAAATATTTTAGCTATTCTCATCAACTTTATAACATTTTATCAAATTGCTAGAAAAGTCCTGCTCATATTTTGATTGTGATTGCATTTAATATATACAGTGATTTGAGGAAATTTGACATCTGCAAATATTCTTTAAATATTCAGTCTTACCACCCAGAAACATGGTATAGTCCTATAATTATGGTTTTTTAAATATTCCCCAATAATATTTTATGTCCTTCAGTAATAACATTGTAGTTCTAACACATTTCTTGTGAAATTAATTTGTAGGTATTTCATTTTTTTCTTGCTATTCTCTTTCTCATTTATTGGCCCCTTTTCCTGCTCCTCTCCCTGCCCCATCAAATATGGACAATCAAAAACTTTCTTCTTTTGGTTTCTTATATTCTGGTTATGCTGTCTCATCTGTCCCAGAGATTACAACTAAGGCCTGTATGTAGGTGACTTCCACATTTATTCACTGACTCAGTCTATGTCTGTAATTACCTGTGGCCTTCTCTACCAGATATCATTAGCACTCAAAATATCCAGAACCAAACTCATTATTTTGTTTCTGAGGATAAATTCATACATTGCACTTCAATATTTTGGTTAATGGCGTTACAGTGTGCATCCAAATTCAAAACATTAGAGCCAGCTTTCTCTTCTCTCTCTCTCTCTCTTTCCATATCAGTCTATAGCCAGGTCTTTAAACTTTAAGTTCTACGAAGTTTCCAGCATCCATCCCTCTGTCTCCATTTCTGTACCACTACCATAGTTTACACTCTCCTCAACTCTTGTCTGGATTATTGCATTGGCCTTTAAACCAGTCTTCTTCCTTCCATCTTCTTTTCTTCCATCCCAACTAGCCTGATAACCATCTTATTATTCTTTCTATGACACAGCATTGGTTCAGTGTCTCTTCTCTTCAGGACCCTTCAGAGGTCTACAGTGGCTGCTTGCTTAGCTGAGTACAAGTTCCTCAATTTAGAAGGCAAGATCCTCTTAATCCCGTTTCCCTTCCATTCTTCTTTTCAGATGAGTCTCCTCTTCAAGCCATTACCCTATCATGCAATTGGACTATTCCTATTCTCTAGAAATATCTGATAATTTCATCTCACTGCCCAACTTGGTCGTCTTCCAGCTGATCCCCAGAGAACCTTCTTGCCCACCTCCACCTAGTGAATCCTAGCTTCTTTCAAACTGAAGGTTATCTCCCTCTCCTTATATCTTAATTTTGAAAACTTATCTCGGTTTGACTTGAATATAATGCTGTTTATATACTTGACTGTTCTCCATTTCTAGATTTTTCAGCTCTTTAAATGCAGAGATGGATCTTATTCATCTCTCATTCTACTCAATGTTTTGTGCACATTTAGAGTCTTCTAAATATTTATTAAATCAAATTAAGTAGGCCCAATTATCATAGGAATTGCCTGTGGTCCACACTAAGAAGCAAATGCCTTATTTTGATTGGATTCAGAAAGTGACTTGGTTAAAATGAAACCCGAGGTAATGCTGGCTTCTTCATTTTGTCCTTACCTAACTCAAGTTTTAATTTAAGATGAGCAGCTGAGAACCTCTGATTACAAAATCCTGCATGTCAATGGGTTTCTTATAGTTAAAATGAGTTATTTGTTAGAAATCCATCATTGCACCTAGGTATTTGATTCAAAAGCTGTGATTTATGACTTAGACTGGAATTTTATAGGAACAATGTCATATAATACCTGAAAACGCCATTTATTTTCATGCACTATTTAAATTGCACTTATATCAAGTTACAGCAATATTTAAAAAGTAATGTTCAGTGCTTCCTTACATTTGCCACATTTTTTATCAGAGTAGAATTGAATTGAAAATTACTGAATGGGAAACATTTCTGCCGCAAAAACGTTACTATTGAATAATTAATCAAATGAGAAACATGTTCAGGTATATATTTTTGTCTTTGTCCTGTGAATTTCATTTTTATTTTTAAAATGAATGTATTCACGCCCCTGAATTTTCCCTTTTGAAATGAGATTCATAACATATCTCAAAACTAAACCCATAGCACATTTTACAAAAGGTAATATAGATACAATTTTCTGATGAATGTTGTGAGGGCTATTTTTCCAAAATGGATTTAGACTGGAATATTCAGAGATGAAAGTGCCTTAGCTAAGATATTTATTTACTCTGATGGAAATCCAAACAAGGCCTTAGTATATTCCATAGGAAAGAAACAACCACACATCTTAAAATTGTTGATAACCAGGTACATTAGTGAATGTGAAATAAAGTTGAGACGCTCAAATTACCTCCTGACTCTCTAAGAATGATCAGGGATCTATAAAAATGATAGCATTTCTTTGTCTTTTTTATGTTGTAAGAGGGAAGCATTGAATATCTTATTTTCATCTTTTGTCCAGAAATAGTTGCAATTCACATTGTCTGTATTTTTAATTCAGACAAATAATTGAAAAGTTTAATATCTCCCTTTATTACTAGTAATTTTTAGCATTGTGTGATTATTTCTCACATGATGATGAACCATGGAATAATATGCTTTCTTTATGGAGGGTGGTTCTGATCCCCACACCTCCACCTACCTCCAATTAGGAGTAACAAATGTGTTTTGATACAGAATTTTTGTTTGTTTGTTTCGTGTTTTTTTTTTTTTTCCTTTGGTCTTTTTCCTTTGGGATGGCACTACACTTGTTTGTTTTGCAATAGAGGTACAAGTTTGCCGTGGAATCAGTGGCATGCTCACCTCCATTTCCCTGGAGACCAATTGTAGGCATTTATGAGGTGTCTGATGGTGATTTTATAGGTCAGAACACTAGGATTTAGGTACTTTGTAGAATGGAACAATCCAAACCAGCCCAAATGGGAACTGAACTTAAAACCAACAAAACCGAATGGGTGAGTTGACAATAAAGGGATCCTTTTCCTAGTTGATTTGAAAAGTCTGAAAAATTCAGCTCTATTTAAGCCATACTCAGAGCCTTTAGTCAAAAAACATTTCTGAGTCTCACTCCAAATAACACTACTTTAACAAAGATCCATAGCAGTATTGTATTAACTCATTTGAACCTATTTAGATGAGTGCCAACTGTGTGCTACTGGGGTCCAAGACTCCCCTTTCTTGTGGAATTTACTTCTGCATGATAAGAGACATAAAAAACAAGGTGATTTCAATCAGTTAACCTGTTCTGAAAAGCAGTATT